GTTTTCTCACGTTCACGTTTGGGTGATTCCTAACATAAAGAGAGCTTTCCCTTTTTTTCTGTGCAGCAAATAAGATGGTGGAATGCAGTCAGATTATGGACCAGTTCCTCGGATTGCTAAACCTGTCGCTGGGCGACCCCGAACATCCTTAAGGTCCACTGGTTCACTAAATGTTGCCCGCCGACAAGCCATACGCTGACCAGACGCGTCTTTTCCAGTCGGTTCATTTGATGTTCGTGTCTCATGTGCAGATGTCGGCACATGCTCAGTCTTAAAAGGTATCCCAGATCAAAACTGCAATTAAAAAGCTCAGTGTACTGCAATGACTGATGAATAACAGAAACAAAAGCGGCAAATATTCAGTCTAAGAATGATCCCAGAAAGTTAAGATGACAAAAATTGCTTCCGATGGCAAATGTGCATTAATCGCTTTATTCTTAGACAGTTTTGTTTTGTTGTAAATAATACTCCCAAGTTCAGCCGTCTGTCTATAGTTGTGATGAATTATTGAGAATATGTCAATTTTACTTCCTATCCAAACATTTAATCTCAAGGAAATATTGTGTTATAATGTCTTAAAGTATGAATTCTGACAGCATTATCCTCTAAATGAATATATAACTGGAGTATCCATCACGGAAACAAACTGTTTGGAAAATCAGTGAAAGCATAGCAATGTGCAACATCAAATAACAACAAGGCACTGAGTAAGTTGTATGAAGTTTGTCTTTAGAATTAATTGTTATGACACTTCAATATTATTAAAACTATATGAATATTCAAGTTTAGTTAAAGAAGCAACAGGCCTACAGCTACAGCTATCGGAACTGTCAAATTTACTATTTTTATTTGCTAGCTTTTCCATTTTATAGACAATGTTGGTGACCCATATGATTTATAATGTTGCATTACAATTCACGACGTTGATTGGAAGCCTGTCTTTGTGGTTTCTGAAGGAAAAATAACGACACATATATGGAAGGAACGCTACAAATAAGACACATTATTATTATTGTTTTACATTTTGTCCTGTAACATGTCATTTTGTGTTCTTTGTTCGCCACTGAGCCGCTCTCCATGGTCCTGTAATTTTACTAGTTCATTAAGCTTTAACACAAATTCTTACTTCGAATGACAAAAATGTTTAAATTTAGTTACTTTTCACTGATGATTTTAAGTAATCTAGCAGGGACCAAATGGAAAGTTGCATTTGTTGCAATTTCAGTAGGCTACTATCTTAATTAAAAAAAAAAACATATTATCGACCCATCTTTTTAAAGTAACACTGAAACGTAATATTTTTCAACAGAATTTTTCTCTCCATTCGTGTTATACGGTAGGCAAGTATTCAAGGTTTTCGAATCCTGTAACTGTAATCTTGCAGATGAGTGCACTGTGATTTGAATGCGATCCGTTAATATAGAAAGTCATTCTTTTGTACTTTATCAGGTGTATGAATCGGTGTATCTTACTATTTCAGTGAGTTTTAGCGCATCTGGAAACATGTCCATCAATTGACAGAGGGATGAGACCCGTCAGCATTGTCTCGCGTCGTTCCCTTGAGTACCAGCAAATCGACAAGTGACTGTGATGTCTCCGCCTCCTCATACAACACCCCTCTACAGTACATCAGCAGGTGTAGCAACTAAACTTTAATTGCTTTCTCGAGTTTAACTCCTCCGGTTCCCTCAGGTACGTTTTTGGATATGGTTTTCATGCGTTTAAATGTTGTACGAGGTTACATTCTACTAACAAAATATTCGCGCAAATATGCGTTGAATAACTATTATGTGTTCTGCTTTTGGCTGTAATCTGCCATATGTAGTGTTGCCCCGTATGTCCGGTGATAAACGTAGAATAGGACCGCCAATGTTGCCCTCTATTGGATATTCCCATCAATTGCAATCATTTCACCACGCGGGGGGAGAGGAAATCGTAGCAAATGAAAACGAATTCAAGTGAAATTTCTTTGGTTTTCATTTGGATTAAATCCAAGTCTGTTAGCACATGAACAGTATTGCTAGCTATGTATTTTTTTATTTATTTTATTACTTTTGTACAGATTTAAAATACTGTGACTATCGGTTATTTTATCTGTAAGCACAGATGGACACACACGCACACATATGAGTTTTATGCATGACCTTGTACACTTGTAAAGCTGAAATCGAATATTTGGCGATTAAAAAATATGCGTAAATCATTTATAATGCATCATCAATATTGCAGTGGTATTTTATGTAGAGACTAGAGAGAAGGAATACTGATATTTAGTGCCGATAAATAAAATTAAAAACAATGACTCCTATAGCTTGAAATGAACATGTACGTTAACTGTTTATAATTGCAGTGTTCATAAGAGACTGTCAAATTTATTAAAGCATCCACGTGTATGTTAGCATGACATAAAACATCTTGTGAAAATGTATGACCTAATGAGCAACCCTTACAGAAAGAGGCCACGCAAGTAATGTGTTGTTCCTTGTTGTACACTTAAAGAGTACACAAGGGCATAGTATTCCGAGTTAAAAATGAGTGCACTTAGAATATGTCTGACTATTCTTGAGAAATCCCAGTTTTTACAACTGTAATCCTTTTGATTACAGGTCACCATTTAATACCAGCTATACAGTAACACTGAAGTCATGACTGATTGAAAACGTTTTAAATGGCAATGTTAAAGAACCAGCCTTCATTGAGAAACGCCTCATTGCTGTAAATTCACCATTTTGAACAAGAGTTGATGTTTTTAATATTTTTAGTATTATGTCCAAGGAAAGACACTGTTATGATCTATATCATGTCATAAGTTAAGAATCAGTCACAATGACCTTTATTTCAAAATAGAATGTTATGTGAAAGTGTCCTATTCTGCTTCACTTGTTGGTTTACATGTAGCATATAGTTTAACTGGCATTGAAAAGGAAATTGTGTCTTTGTAGAAAAGTATGACAAACACAAGCTCTGAATCTGAGAAGAGACATGGCAGAGCAAATAAAGCAATCCTAAGTTTTGTACAGGAGGAATTCTTGACTATACCAATTAGGCATGAATGGGCTCTTGCCCCTGATGGCTAGGGAGACATCATGGAGAGAGGCTGAATAGCTGTGCTTTTAATTGGGACATCATTCATTAATGTCCACATGCTATGCTTGAGGTCTTGTCTTGGCACCTGATAACAAGATGGCCATTAGAGTTAACGCATGAATAGTTTTATATGTTACAGCTACCTCCAACTCATCTTTCCGTCTCACATTCTCTTTTTCTCTCTTGAGCTAACACACAGTACCTACTTAATGCTTATCGTTTTATTGCTATTAAATTGTGTAGCTCACTGTCCAAAGACAGCCATTACATTAAGTGAATCTGGCTTGTGGGGGCTATAGTTATTCAGTTTGGCATCACTGAATCTCAAAAGTATTAGTTTAGTTTTTGGTGGAAGACAGTAGATGCTCTTTACACCTGCTGAAAAAATTGGAAGAGGCGTGGACCTTCATGTAGCACTTCTGAAACATCTATTCATCCTATAATAATATGCAAGTCATTACGCCACTGCGCTCTCCATCGCTAAAACATATGGCCTTTGCCTTTTTGCCCCTAGGGTGCAGTGTGTGCAAGTTAACACGACAGGTGGATATGACTCATAAAGGTTTGTAGTTGAATAGCGTTCTTCTCTCCACTTTTGATGAGTAACACCATGCTTTATAGCCAAAGAAACAGGGTCTAAACTATGATGCCATGGCAGGGTTGTATCTGTGATAGAAGGGAATGTTCTTAAGTGCTCTAATGAGCATCTCTGACCTCCTTGACATCGCTGGCCACATGTTATTGTGCTAGGGTCGGCACAAATTGCTTGATCCAGACCCGGAAACCTAACCCCATAGCCACTGAACTAATAGAGCGACTGTGTAAATATAGATATCTAGGGTGAGCATTGTTTTGACTCGACTGTCATTCGCCTGTGCAAAGAAGACGATTTTCCGGATTTGATATCAATAACTTTAAATAATTTGTTAAAACACGTCCAATGGGCTAAGAAAATACATATTACTGTATTACTTAATATTTCATAGTATTTATATTTCAGGAAATATAAAAATATCTGTCACGATACGACGAATTTTTTGCATTTAAAGATTTGGAAAGTGCAAAGACGCAGCTGACTGCTGCATCGGAAAAAATACCGTAATATAAAATACTAATCGAACTCTTCCACTTCTCTAAAGTGTTATATATTCCCGTGTGTTCGAAGTGCTCGAATTTCACAGTATGCCGTACTAAAAGTAAAGAGTGAAGCATTACGGTTCCCTTGACATGTTTTACACAGTCGTCTCTCTTGTTTTTGAAGATGGTACCTGTTTTATGAGCCAAAGAATGTCTCGGACAACATAGCATCCAGTAACTCCCCAGAGAGACGGCTATTGTTATAGCCCGGAAGCTTTCAACCCTTCAGAGTATAGGATAACATTTTTTTCCATAGACATCAGAGCAGTCTTTGCGCTTCCTGAGACCATTTTACCCATTAGAAACTGTGCAGATGTCACTTGTCATTGCTAACACAAGGTTAATATGGAACGAGTAAGGCTGGGTTTTGTACTGTTGAATGAGTAATTAGACGGTTTTCAAAGTTCAAAGTCGTTACTGTTAATTGTGTTTGTCGGTTAGAAATGAAATTCACGACATTATTATTTTTTAATTTAAAAATACTTTGTGGTAATTGTGTGTTGAGGGCAATTGTAATTGGTAAACGCAACAATATAAATAATATTCTGCTAAAGTCTCTAGAGAAATGTTTTATACGGATAGTAACCGAAGTCCAGAAGGAACTTGCGCTTCTGAGGATGTGTAGTTTAAGACAACGGTTCATTAAAATTAAGAAAATGCGAAAATGGTATGTTTTGCATCATTTATTGTTGACGTTTTCTAATAATTTAGGTGTTTTAATATAGCTGAAAGGAATGGTTTACTGTAAATTTTGAACATCATATTTATCCGTAGTAATTATGTTGTAATAATTAATTCCTCGTAGTACAGTTTAATTTTAATAGTATTCATACATAAATATTCCTGTCATTACGTGCATTTTTTTCAGATAAGCAATGACACTTAATTTGGTGTAACACAATATGTTTTCCCTTCCACACTCCAACTCCCTGTGGATACACAGAAATGCCTACTCTATTGGGACACTGATACACAGACATCAATCTTTTTATATTAAACCATCAGTGGAAACCAAAAGAACTGCATGTCATCAATAACTTAAAACCTAAAGAAAACAATAAATATGCATAACTTTAGTAAATATACAATGTGACCTTTTGCAGTTCAAGGACAGTAGACTATCACATAATAAATACATTTGTACCTCATATTTTCCCATGTTTTTCCTTTTTAAACTTGTGTTAGAAAGAAAAAGTGCTTTACTGTACGCTATCCTCATGGGTGTATATTTAACTGTAATATGACACAGCCTAAGCACATGTGTGAACTCCATGTCAAACAACAGATTTGTACATTAGACATATCTGAAGCAAGAATGAAATAGAAAACTATGATACACATATATACATCAATATTTACTATTAAAAGTACAGCAAAGATTCTGGAAACAACTGATAGGCTTCTCACGGTAAAAATACCTACATGGAAAATCCAAAACCTTTTAACATAATTTTGAATATTTATGGTAGTGGGGTCACAAGCATGTCCCACTGCAATCGTCACACCTTCTCCAGCGCTCTATGGTTTCCTCTCTTTGGCTCAGTCTGTTGTTCTTGTTGCCAAGCACTTGTTGGTGAGCTACTGGAGGACCACATTACCCATGATGCCTGTTTTCAGTCCTCTGTCTCCTTCGCCTTGCCAGCGGCGAGCCTGTGCCTACGGCGTCTACGCTCTGCTCTCCCGGCAGGCCTTAGAAGGTTCTCTCTGTATTTCTGGCTCGTGTGAAAAAGGTGCACCATCTCGTGGTCCTTGTTGCCCAGTACCCTTGGTAGAAAAAGAGAAGCTTTTTCTGTCCGCCGGGTCTTGAAGCCTCTACGTGGCCGACCTTTTCCATTGATTGACACATACCATAGTCTTTCTGCACTGGCCCGCTGTTTGCCGGCACTAGCTGAAGGCGGAGATGTCCGATAGTATCTGGAGGCATAGGTATTGTATCCCAGCTCATGGATCCGTTCCACAAATTCACATTCCTGGTTGAACACTTCCTATAGCAAAATAAAGTAGTTTTTGTCAGCAAAAACAATCAATAAGAATATCAGAACACCAAGGATCTTCTCATCGATTCTTATCTGCTATATTTAGCTATTCTTTTACATATTCCCATACCACATAGCCTGGATCAACAAAGCACACCAATTGTCAGAGAAGCAGAATGAATGGAAATGAAGTTAAATGACATAGTGTGAATAGCAATTATCAATGTGCAGTCAAAGCCTTGAATATAGCATATGTAACTTTAGAGTGGCTTGATGGGCGGCACATTTGCTTCACGAGTCACTACTTCATGTGTGTGGAGTTTGCATGGCCTTTACATGTTCCAGCTTTCCTTCAAATTCCAAACACATGCATTTTCCCTAACTGCCACCTCCTGATCATCCATACTGTATGGCTGTAATAGCATGAGTTTATGTGTGCTGCAATAGATTAGTGTCCTATTCAGGAGGTTTTCCAGCCCTGTGCCCCTTTGCGGGCAGGGATAGGTTCCAGGCCCTCCCGTGGTTCTGGCCAAGATAAATGATTGGAAGTTGGGTGCATGGATCACTTGCTTCTGGAGGCATCAAAATACAACTGACAATTCCTGCTGTCAGCAAACTATTTGAACTGAAAACTGGGTTAAATGATCCTTAGTGTATTCTTGTAGAAGAAGTAATAAGCCAAAAACACCAGTTAAAGATTGATTTACTTTAAATGGCCCTTTTCCCAGAAACTATAATCCAGTCAAAAACCGATTGTCAGTTCATTTATAATGCATTGTTACCTTCTTGTGAATATGTCATATTATCAATAATCTTAACTGTAATTACATGTACTTTTTATATTTTTCAATAAATTGAGTACTGTTTGTGCAACTGTAGGTCTAAGTTTAATTGTCAAAAAACTTAAGACACTAAACCATGAAATGAATATATCTTAAATAGTAGTAGTAATAATAATAATAATAATAATAATAATAATAATAATAATAATAATACCAAAACAATGCATTTTAAACGTGAAATGGAAAAACAAATCTAGTCTTGCCCCCCCCACCCCACCCCACCCCAACATATGTGGATCCGGTGTCAAAGATACTACTTAAAACTTACCGAAGCATAGAGTCGTCCTTTCTTGTTCATGGCCAGATATCTCCCCGAAAATAGACCCTTTATTGCCACCACACCGACGTCAACGGCTGTGATCTCCAAGATACCTTAGAAGAAATTCAAAATATTGTGTTAATATATTTCCCGTGAAAACAATACTCACAGAGATCACAGAGAATGTCGACAATTACAGCAAACACCATAATGAAAATCGCAGTTACTTAGTTCTAACGTAACTGCACTCCTCTCAGTGACTGCGGTTAAAGTGTTTATTGGTCATGCGCAATAATAATGGTAATTTCACCGGAAGTCGATGGAGACGAATTCTGACCCCTATAAACCTATAACCCTATAACAACAGACACCCACGTAGAGCTGAACGTGTCTATAAAAACGCGCGTTGCTGCTTGAATGAATTAGGGGGGGTGTAAGGAATAAGGACGGATCCGTTTAAAGTGCGATTGGAAAGTCGGCATGCATTTGTCGATTTAAAAGTAAGCTGGGTTATATCTTGATAAAGGTGACTAAGATTTTTTATGTTACTGAAATTTCAACTAGACAGACCAAGAATTTACCTGGTTCTGCACAAAATAAGATAGCGTTTATAAATTTCGGGCAGTTTCTTTGGTAGTTTTTTACATTTTATTAATTTTGACCAGTTTAATACCAAATAATTATTAATTCAATATATTGTGATGTTATTAATCAAAAGAAAAATCATTTAATCAAAAAAGTAAATGGACCACAGGAAATTATCAAGCCGGGACGTGAAGCACTGCAGCGGCAACTAGAAAAAAAAATGTACAAATATCACGTTTCTGAATGTAACCGGTTTAATCTACCTAGAATACTGCGTACGCAGAAGAAAACTGAATTGAAACAGTTTTATGATTTGGTTGGTCGGCTTTCTGCAACCGGATAGGAGAGCTTGAAAAGTAGGCTAACACGTTAATAGATTAGACAATGTGCCAGTTAATAATTTTAAATAATGAACTACGTGAAATGACATTTATAACAAACAAACTGACATGTTTCATCATGTCTTCAATATGATATGTGTCATTGCGTGAGGAAGTGACGGAAGAAAATCTCCGCTGATAAGATATAAGTTTTAATAATTACGTACAGTGTCATTCGCAGATTACCATATATTGTACATCTGTTTGAATTTTCAGTTACTTTCACGGCAAGCCGGTAAGCTTTTCCAGCTTTAGAGTTTCACATAACGTGTCTTGGTTTCTTTCACTAATATTTTGTTTCAGTAATTAGTAACAAACGAACTTCTCACCAGTTTTTATCAGAGGCAGGTATAAATTCCAAAACAGTATTTCATTTTATCGTTCTGGGGCTGCGAGGTGGATTAAAATGGCATTTGCTGCCCACTGTAATGAAATAGTAGGAATACTCATTTATAATTTAGAGATATTATATCAATACAATCTATTATATCGATGTTATAATGATTAATAAATGCGGAAACAAAGTTGCTATTTTCGTAAGTCTGGAAAATTCTTCTTTTATCAATAAATAAATAAGTAAGTAAAGAAATAAATAAATAAATAAATAAATAGATAAAACGAAATAGGTACATAGTACATTACCAATGCGACAGCTACGTAGGAGAATGCTGTCTTATGACATTAGCGATATCACGCAATTATAGTAACTTGGAAGTTTAGCTACTGTTCTCAGTAAAACGAACAATATTAAACAGCAACCACGTTATTAGTGAAATCTACTTACTAAATGGATTGTTTTCTTCAAGAGATCCGTCTATCTTCCCATTGGGGTGTATTTGCAAATGATACTTTGTTGCACAGTACAGCTTTCTGTGTCTTGGTGCTCCACCGAGGTGCTCGTAGACTCCACCGCGTCCCCCAGCATCTCTCCGCTGCCTTGGGTCACACGCCTGGCCTTTGGCACAAGGCGCCCTGGATGTCCTAGTTAGCCTCGAAGACAATTCCTGATTACTGGGATCCAAGAAACTCAGCAACAACAAGACCAGAATTATAACCATTGTGGCATGGCCGAAAATCTTAGTCTTTGTGCAAGAAAACAGAAAACTGACACAAGGGGTCCCATTAAAAAAGTCTTATTGCCTCAGGCTCGGCAAAAAAGAATAATGATCCATCTTACGAAACAGTGCCAGTTTTATCTGTCCGGATCTCTTCCCTTTATTTGTAGCGATCTTGTAAACCCGCGATCATCGATTAAGGCCAGCGAAGTGAAACAAACGAGGATTAGTCGTGCTGCCGTTCTTGGGTCCCATTTGCTCTCCAAGTAGTCGGCATGCTGGAAAAAGCCAGTGAATTTCACAAGGAGGCTATCGTGAGATTTCGTTGATGCTCAGAAATAAAAGAACCTTCCAGCAACAATGGGCTGAACTCCGACCAATTGATACAAAGGAGAAGGGAGGCAAGGTATCAGTCTTGTGTGAACTATGAGAGTGCAGCACAGATAAAATTACACAGCATTACACACAGTGGCTTATTGCGGAAAACCGCATCACAAAGAGCGAGCCTTCTGAGGGCAGAGTTTCTTCTGCGCTCTCCTTTTGAAAGACCCAAAAGGCCAATTATACATTGGAAAATTATACACTGTGCGCTTCGCCATGGACATTCCCCTGGTCTGTCACAATCAATGCTTAGGCACAACGTGCCAACTAACGCTACACAATTATAAAATGAAGCGATTTGCATATGTGTCTCGTAAAGATGCACATACAAAACATAGTATACAGTTTTGGGGGCTCATTCATAACATATACATATTAAACGTTTTATTATTCTTAAAACATTCATATGGATAATAACAAAGAAGGCTGATCCTGATGTTAAAAATGAAAAGATCATGATCCCAGCACACGTTTGTTCAGTGTAGCTAGAAAATAATATTCCAAAATATTTTTTCCATACCGATGCGATCACAACGTCGTATACTTTCAATTAATATCGCGCAATGACTTTAAGCAGGCCAATGTACACGCTACATGTAACCACCACTATTCTCTATTTAGAGACGTTGTATTGATACGATAAAACATCCGGCCTGTTATAGCCCATACGTATTTTAAGAAGTGAACTGCCTTATCTATATACAGAAATGACATAATCGCCTTTACAACTCAATTTCAAATACACATAATATAAAGAAAGACCAGTAGAAAGTAAAGATCGATTCATCTGACAAGTCTTTCATAACTTGCTGTAACGAGATACTTCCTCTTAGTCAGCTTCATTAAAATAAATAAATTTTACATCCCATTGCAGTACGATGGAGTTTCTTAGACGTTAAAAGGGAAGGGGGAAACAATAAATACGATTTTAACAAGCTACAAAGTACCCAAAGAAAAACGAATAAATTTTTAAACTCTTTATCCAATGAGATGTTTCTAAAACCGTAGCCGATCGGGTGCATCCTCGAAACCTGCATCAAAAAAGTATCCGAGAACTGTATTCCACGGTATTGCCGACATGCGATTTTACTCATATAATGCCAAAACCAGAGTTATATTATCCCAACAGCTCATCGCCATTAAAATGAACATGGTAAAATAGCCTACGTTTTCTTCGGTCCAGTGTATCGGCCTTTGCTCATGTAATCCTACAGTAAGTCCACACACGATGCCCTGTGGCTCCACTCTGTGCAGAATAAGATAATGCATACTGCTGCAGACTATCCCTTTCTTAATATTAAAGCCCTGGGTATGTTGCAGCACGTGGGCGGAAGACTAACACGCAAACGACTATTGCTTAAATTGCTTCCATCTTGGTCGCATTATGGTTACCATTTTCATAATTAGCACCATCATCTACAAATCTTATGCCCTCTGGCTTTATACCAGTGATTAAGCTATGCTACAATGCTTCTGAGAAACGCGCAGTGCATTTGTCTCCGCTTGCAGTTTATCAAGCATCTCTCCTATGTCATAGTTCACTAGAGAAAAGAAAAGGTGGCAGTGCCACTTGGGTATTACCCTTCACTTATGCGCCTCTGCCCTTTGGCGAATGAGACAACAACACAGTTAAACTTCATCCAAGTGATGTATATCATAGGCTTTCTGGCGACCGATTCTGAAGGAGTTCTTTTAATGTGGTTTGATTCTGACAGAGGGTGGGACTTTTGATGTGGTCTTCTGTTTCTTTCTGGAAGTATTTTAATTATGGTCTATAGCCGCCCACAACGCTTCACAGTAATAATCAGAGCAGTCTGATTTCGTCCGGCCCTAGAGAGCAGAATGGCTGTGACCCTCGTAAATTCTGTCTGTCTCAAAAATGTCTTTGATGGGAAAAAACATTATCATTATAAAATCGAATGTTTAATCATGTAATTAACAGTAGAATCATCTCCAATTTTGTTAACTTGTTTCATATCACCACACTCAATATTTAACATTATAGTTATCAAGTTATAAGACAGGCTAATAAAATGGCTTTTAAGTTGTATTTTAATGGATGTGAATGACCGTTTAAGGCGGGAAATATATAATTTGCTACAGGTGACCAGTAATCTCACTGTACCCATAATCACCTGTTACATGGCGCTTCTTACATTAATGGACATGAAATTGAAACACTTAGATTGCCAAAGAAAATAAGCAGTCGCACATACGTTAATGCATGATCCCAATACGTGTTTAAAAAAATCGATTTTAAAATTAGGATATCTAAAGCTGATTTTTGTCCATTATTATTATTGATGTATCATTTAAATAAGAGAGCTGGAGTGATTGTATTAAGTTTTATTGTAGTTTACCTTACCTGGTTCGAAGATTTTACAAAGTACTTGTTTATTTATAGTACGGTAGAAAAACATTTGGGACATTGGAATGCCGTCAAATTGGACAGCCTGACTGTTGAGGCTTCACAGAGATTTTTAAACTGTTACTCAGAAAAAAATAGGTCTATTGTTCTTCATGTATCTTTCTATAAAATGAAGCGCATCGTCGTGGCAAACCTTACATCACAGACTAGCATAACAGGCGTTCAATCCACTAAATAATACATTGAGTAATGGTAAAATCTTTTTTTAAACCAGCCCTTAATGTCTATATCTGAGATTCACAATGTTTTCCGGAGAAACGATGGCGTACCATTCAATGTAAAAATTAGGCTAGGCCGACTTAAATTACATGTTAAATAATAAACAGAAGGTGGCCAGAAAAAAAATGTAAAGATTAATGATACCTGTTAATCCCCCAGTGGGAGTGGTTTGTCAGTAAAATGCACCCTCCCTCGGCAGTTTAAAGCCATTAAGGTGTTGAGACGTGTGGCTTTGACTCCGGCAGGAGCTCACCTCAAGGTAATCTTCGGGTTTTAAGTGCAAATTACGCGAGCAAGAGGGTGAAAGCTGTGACATCGTATACACGACAGCAATGTGTTTGTATCGTGTAAAACAAAAGATTTTTTTTTAAGTGTCGCTGGGAAAGAGCTTTTAAGTTTTAATTTTATTCATGGACAATATTTTTCGTAGAATTTAAATTGTAGTAGGTTCTTAGTAATTGAATGTTGCAGTTTTATGTGATACATGGGAAACCTTTCACTGCATTCCTTAATTGATTTACATTAGAAAATGGCGCGCACAAACGGTCTGCCCGTCATTATGAAGGTTGGTATACATCGGTTCTTTTTTCTTGCCTCCTTCCAATAATCCAAACCAAATGAAAGTGACCTTTGAACCTTTTTGCTGTAGTTTTTTCTCATGCCATGGTTTCTTTAGTGCGCTAGTGATCTGAGGGCCCGGCCGGGCAGCAGCCACTCTCCCAGACGAGACTGCCTTTCGTCCCCTGACAAATCGCTGCTGAGCCCCCTTTGTCCTGCCTCACTTTGATCTCACCTGCTTGTCAGGGCAGAAAGAACCTCCCGTACAGTTTGAACGCGTTGCAAACAAATTGGCAACCATTTCATTCCCATACCCCATTTCAGAAGGTCAGTGAAGAAACGTTAACCCTTTTACCGCACTTACTGCGTGCAGTCTCCTAAAACAACATAGGAAACCGCAAACGAGACGTATCGCAGCGCAGTTACTATATATGAATATACGACAATAATCTCATATATTGGATCATGCATTTTCGTTAGTAATGCTAATGCACACAGTATTTACTATTATACAATTATAATTCTTTTATATCTTTTATATATATATATGATACTTTTTTCTAAATTATGTAATCCATGTGATACAATAATGTAATTTATTTTTGTAAATGCAACCGAGATACCTGTTAGGCAAAAACATCTCTTGAGAGAAGACTGGAAATTTACACTGTTTAAAGTCCCTTTATGTTGAGGGGAATTATACGTTATACAAAGGAATATTTTAGTCAAAAATAGATTTACGTTAGCTTTAAATAACTTGATTTAAGCATCGCGTTCTCAGGAATATGCTACTTATCAGAAGACTTTAAATGTATATGTCAGAGAGTCAGTCAGTGTACGCTTTAAATCAGTATTTAAAATAAAAGTCTAAGGTTAACTGCCACATTTATTATCATGTAATGGTTCCGTACCAAAACCACAGTTTTCAAATTGCAAAAAAAAAAAAAGTGGAACACTCATTCAGGTATTACAATACATTAAATTGGCTTTCTTGTGAAGAATAAATGAATCAATATACAGTACAATATAGGAAATGTAGGTTATAAAATTCAGCGACGTCTGGGGCTGTGAAGTACCTATGACTTGTGTGGGCACCCTGATGTCCACAGTAATGCGTCCATAGTGACGGGGTCCTGGTCCTGGGTACGCTGTCATGGAACCGCAGCCCTGAAGCGGGCCTGAGTGACAGTGACGCAGCAGCTGTCGGTGGCTCATTTGAAACTCAAAGTTACCTAATTTCCCTTTAATATAAAGGCTTTGACGCAGGGCTGGAGTGCCCAGCAGGGGCTTTTGAATGAGAAAGCTACTTATTTATAGTTAAAAAGATGGATAGCCCAGAAGCAGTGGCACCATGCGTATTGTTCCCTGCTCTCTTTAGAAAACACTGTAGTGACATTTATATGGACCTTAACTGGGCCTTTTCTTGGCACTCATTGTGCTTCCATATGATGTTAGTTTGTCTTACAGTGTGGTTGGTGGGGGATGGGAAATCCAGCCACTAATTGAATTATTTTTTTATGATTTATTTTTTATAATAGGCTCCTTTCATTTTTAAGTTGTCATGCAGACGATGTAATGCTTTTAAAAAGATTTTTGAAAATCCAAAAACCACTTCCCGTTAATTACATAATAAAGATCAAACCAAACTGATATAAAGTGAGTTTAATTGGCTGGAAAAAAAAATGCATTAGTCGTTTCACAACATGTAATGGTCACCAGTGACTCACCTGTTTAACAAGAATGTGTGAGAACTGTTTCACTGTCATGGGGATTTGTAGAAAGGAGCAACAAACTTGTTCCAGATCAGGCAGAGGCTGAGAGTGGCTAAAAGGCTTTGTTATTTAGATCCAGTAACACTCTGCGTGTTTTTTTTTAAGAGTCCCTTAGTCAAGGGATTTTCAAGATCACGGCTCTGCATGATTTCACTCACCTAATGACCTGAAATTGGCATTGCGCCAGATTTAACACACATATTTGTTTACAAACACCCCTCTACCTGAAACGCTTCCAATAGCCACAGCTGTCCTAGACATTTATTTATTCACACGAGTGGTTATACAACATAATGAATAGATTCAGTTTCTTTGTTCAAGGGTAAAACACTCAGTAACAATCACAGGAACATGATTCATGATCTCAAACTATTAGACTGTCTGCTCTGTACTTCTTTTGTTTAGTTTCAGAATAACATCAAATGTGCTAAGCTCTCTTTACAGTAAGAACCACAGCCTCCCAACTGTGGAGCTATGGCTTTCATGGCCTGGGCCTCTGTGACAGGCTCCATTGGCCTAGCCAGTAGGCAGTCTCCTAGTGGCCTGCTTCATGAAAACTGTTGACAGATGTCTGTCTTAAAGGTACTTATCACTTTACCAGTGTTTGCTGATGTCTTTCTGGGGTTTTAAGCTGACAGGACAGATATGTGTTAACGCCACGTGTTTTATTGCTAAGCTGTTGATAGGAGGCTGTCTTGAGATTCAGGGCTCAAGGTTCCTTGTTGGTTCTGTCACATGTGTGGTAGTTTATTCCTATTCATTATGTTCAGAAAGTTCTTCTTCTCCTTATTATTATTATTATCATCATCATTATTATTGATGCAATATTCATATGCAGTTGAAAACAGAATCCTGCTCTGAATAAACATTAGATATTAACATATAATACAGATTTAAGTCAGCGCTGTATAAGGAAAGTGTCATTTGATTATTGTTTACTTAATTTCCAGGCAAGTGGTGTTAACTTTTACATGTTTCAGCATATATTATGACATTGAATTTGGTTACTTAGTTCCAGTATAGTCATTTTATATCAAATTTTTTTGTATATATTTGACATTTCATGTATACGTTTTAAATCACATGCATGCATACATTCATACATACAGTGACATGTAAATAATTTGACAGGAAGGAATATCAGAGTTTGACATGTGACGGATAAAATTACTGTTTATAGTCTGATTTATCTGGCTACAACCCATTCGAGAGATGGTCGGAAATGCTACCACACCAAGACTAATGGATGCTAATGAATCCCAGATATTAGGGGGGAAAG